GTTATATGGTGCTCTTTTCTTGTGAGGAAAAGGCAAAGAAATAAGTTTAGTCTTGTTTTGTATATGCAGTCCCTCCCCCATTTGCCTGATGATCCCACAGGCTGGACTTCAGATTTGCCTGAGTTGTCACTAATTGCTGTGCCGCAAGACCACCTCCAACAGCGAAGATGGCATAAGAACCAGACCTGCTGTCTCCACACCTGAATGCCTGGAGCTCTTTCTGCGTGTAGAAGTACTCTGATAGGCAGGGTATGGCGCTTCTGGGCAGGGAGAGGTTGCTCTGTTTGCAGGTATCTTTATGCATAGTCTCTATCTTGCATGTTTTGTGGCAATTGGGTAAGAAATCTGGAGTTGGGAGCGGTCTCCCGCTTGGGTTGAGAGGGACTAGCTAGGCTTGAGGCACAGTCCTCCCCTCTTCCCCCACCCCCTCCCATTTAACACAGCACCTGGTGTGCTTGGCTCAGTACAAGTAGGTGTTCCACAGTCTTGTGGAAATGCCAGTAGGACTGAGTATGTTGCTTTGAGAGGTTTTGTTTGCCCAGTAAAAGTTGGGACTTAACAGTTTACAGATGTGGTAATCCAACATTTTGCAAAGTCCTAAGCTTGTAAAAGTTGGATTGGATAATACTGCTCACTGCGTCCCGCGGCTCTGATTTAAAGGAGTCCAGTTACAGGGTCAGGCCCAATGCGATGTGACCTTCTAATGTTTCTTTTACATTCATTAAGCAAGACTGGAGGGGAAGCTGACCATCCCCGCTGAATCATTTCAAATAAAATGGGAAGATGGACACTGCAGTGTGTTTATGTCATGTTTATTCTGTGGCTGAAATGTCTGTTGCCCACTTTTAAGTACATGCATGAGCTTGAAACCCCCCACATTTTGTGACTTCGGCCGATGGATCTTGCAAAGAAATGTGCAGATGGCAGAATTCTTGCAGGGTACAGGAGAAGGGCAATACAGTGTTTTCTGGTTATGTCAAGAGTATGATAGCTATGATTTGTCTTTTTCAGGGCCTGCTGGGTCCACCTGAGTTTGCCTGTAAGCCTGTATGCAGACACAAGAGGGCGGCTGGAGGAAAATAAAACCTCACAGCCAGAGCGGAGCCCTGCCAGGGACTCATGTAAAAGGAGCAGATGGTGATTGATGGACTCGAGTGCATTTTGATGAAACATCCCTTTAAGTTTAGGATCTTAGCTGAAACCTGTTGATCTCAGGAGGCATAATGGCGTTTTACTGTCTTAATCACTTTGTGCTTACTCGTTTCTTAAGTTCAAATACTGTATTTGCTGCAGGTTCAGGAGCAGCACATGCAGCAATCGTCACTGCTGTAAGTGTCCTTGTGCGTCTGACTTTACGGATGGTTTCTTCTTTTCCCCTGCTTTCTCCAGTGGAGTTGTTCCAGATTGCCATCTCTGAGGTCTGAGACACACTTGCTGATTTTAAAGCAAAAATCATGTCACTGAGAAATGTGAATTAGCCTCCAGTGACTGAAAGGCAAATTGTTGGTCTCAAATCTCCTGTAGAACTGCACATTCCATGCAGAAGTTTCTGTCTATAAATATTTCAGACTCTGATGTGGAATGCAAGGGAACCCTTAAAAATATTCATATTTAAAAATAAAGAAGCGTTTCTCAACACAGGTCTAAACTTTTCCCTACCACTATTAAGAGACAAATTTCAGCATGCGTGCCATGGAGATGCTCTCGTATGTATGCCTTAAGTCTTCTGATCATCAGCATTTATGCATTAGCATTCAAGAATGCAAAAAGTGCTGCCAATTTTGGTTTCCTCTTGCAAAGCTAGTACTAGTTTTGGTTATATGTTGTGCTGTATGGAGGAGAGTGCTGTTTCCTAACCACCAAAAAAAGTAGGAGTAAAAATGTAAGATGTCTCCCAGTTCTTTGTTTAAACCTGGATGTTTTCTAATTCAAGTCTGTCTTTTTCTCCAAGTAAAAAGGGCTGTCCACTAGCTTTTTTAAATCTGCATTTTAAAAAATAAATTTAAAAAATTGGTAGGGAGGGAAGGCACACGATATTAAAATTCATGTTCTGAAATACAGGTGCTGCGGGAGCATTTTAGCAACACCAAAAAGCCAATGTGGTTATTGAACCATCTCTGCTGCCAGGGAAAGTGAAGGAGAACTCAGAAATATCTGTTCATGTATGGTGTGCTTCCCTTCCTTCCCCAAAAGACTGGAAAAGCTTTGGTGAATGATTACCAGGGTCTTTTTTTTTCTTCTTTTTTTTTGGTGGGAAACCACAGGTAGGAAAGCCAGGTCTACAGCACACCCCTGGAGCTGTTGCACACCTCTGCCCAGCCGCTAGCACTCGTCTATTCCCTGCCTAAGCGTCGATAATTCAGTCATCTGAATGAGGACTTGCAGCAGGAGGTTTGCTGCCCTAAAACCAGTCCTTGGATGCAGGCTTCTTTTCAGTGCGTTTATCTTACTCTCTGCTTGACAACAAGATGGTTTAACTTACAGATTGGACCTGCCAAAACAGAGCTACTGCCTCAGGGAAGCAGAAGGTGTCATCTCTGGTGGTGGCTTCAGTGGCACCTTCCCCCTCTCTGTGCTCGCGGGGCTTGCTGCAGAGTCTGGTGCTGTGCAGCGACAGCGAGCACGGGCCAGCGCTTCCTCTCTTGCCCGAACTGTCTGTTTGCGGTGCGCTCGGGCTTGTGCAGGTGCTGTTCCCGTCACCGTTAGCATTAAATAGCGAACAGAAAAGCACTTCAGGTTTTTGTTGCTGGTGGGTGACTGCAGAAAGTTCTCTAAATCGGTCCCCCATGCTGGGAGGTGCTGTTTACTGGGGTGCAGTGTGAGGCAGAAGGGGCAGCGCCCAGCCCCTAGGCTGTGTGAGACCCCCAGGAAGGCAGTTTCTCCCCGCAGTGTTGCAAACAGGGAGACCCGTGTTTCGTTGGCCATAACTGATGGCAGAGCTGGGCTGCAGCTGATGGCTTCATTCCCTCTGACTTGGTTAAACCTCATGTACTCCAGGGCTCCCGAACTCCCCTAACAGCCTCCCCCAGGGGAAACCAGGACCCAGCAAGGTACGCACTGGCAGTGCTGTCTGCTGTGGTATATTTGCACTGTATCGCACACCCCACTAGTGGGGAGCCCAGTGTCTAACCCGTGTCACGTTTATCACCATCCTAAGTCTGTGCTTTAACTTTTCCTCTCCCTGCTTTAAACACGGCTCTGCACACAACCGCTTCTTCCTCCGCTGGTGGTCCTGGGCTGGTGTTCTGGCCCAGGAGGAACAAGTGATCTCTGACACATCTCTGGCACAGGCACCCCCGCCCTCTCCTCCGCTCTCCTTTGTTCCTCTCAAACATAAACACACTTAACTGGCCTCCTCTCTTCTCCCTCCACCCCCCAGTCTTCAAAGCGATCAGACAAAGCAATATCCCTCCCGCAGCATGTGCCAACACGCTCCCCTGCTTGCAGAAGGAAGGCTTCAATTAAGCAGCAGGCCCTGCCGGTACCTGGCATTTGCTTTGCTCCCTTGAGCCCTGTCCTCGGGCGAGGGGATTTGATCACCAGCACCTCTGGTTTTCTGCCTGGAGAGGTGGCAGTGGGAGGCGTAGGGTGGAAAAGCAGGAAATCTGCAGCTCCCCAGCCAGGGCGATACTAGGCACAGATGCTTTGTCACCTGCACTGTGGGATGGAGAGGAAGATGGTAATCTCCTGGCACCCACAAAACACCAAGAATTATGTGGTTTCTGGTGGGTTGTTTTTGGGTTTGTTTTTTAATTGCAATATATAACAGGAGGGTTGGGGTCATTCCCTGCAGCAGGGGGAGTGCTGAGCGGTGTGTGAGCTGAGGCAGGTGGGGAGCAAAGGACACCGAAAATCCCCTGAACTCCCTGGGGAGATGTGCAAGTTGGCCTCCTCAGGCACCTACCAAGGAATCCCCAGCCCAAGCTGCGGCTGCTGCTGGTTTTTGTGGTGCTGAGCACATCCCCATCTTATGGCGCCCTTGTTCTCAAAGCCCAGGAGACTGCTTCGGTTCACATTGTATATAAAGTTCAGAAATGAAAATAATCACTAGTCTTAATTGCAGAGATTAGGACCAGGAAAGGGAAATGGAGTCATCTGCCAGCACTTAATCTAACATTTACTAGCTTAGCAAAAGACATGCAGGGGCTGGGCTGCCCTCACATACTGAGGTGTTTGAACCAGCTTTGTGATGGAGCCTGTTTCTAAAAGGAGGTGCTGGCAGCAGCCTGGATTGCTATTCCCCCCATTCCCCCACCCTAGCTGAGCTACAGCCTGCACCCTGCTTTCTGCTTAGGCTCAGCTTTGCCCAGCAGGTGCCTGGAAGAGGAGGACAATGTTTCCCTCCTTTCTCCCCTCCCTTGGTGCCTGAGGAAACTGAGGCAACAACCCTGTTTTTTTCCCCTGCACAAGCTGTGCCTCATATCGGGGAGGCAAGGTGTGAGTCCAGGCTCTCTTCCCCTCTCCATTTTCAGCCCCAGTGAGCCGGTGTCGGGTGGGAAGCCAGGTAGGTCGGGCTTCCTGCTCTTCCCTGTGAAGTGAAAACGCGGGGAACCTGTTCCCCTGCCGTGTGTCAGGAGGGGAAGAAGAAATAGACGGGGAGGGGTCCCCCTGCGGGCACCCAAAGGGAGGGAGGGGTGCAGCTCCCGCAGGGCAAGATGTGGCAGTGGGTGTGGGTGTGCGATAAGGTCCAAGCCCTGCTGGGTTAGAGCAACAGTTTATTACCTGACTCAATTAAGTGGTAGGAAATTATCAAACCTGAGCACCCTCGTAGGGAAGAGCCGCCCAGGGAGAATAGCAGCCTGCCAGCGGTTGTGAATATACACACTCGAGGACAAGACATTAGGGTTTTATGACAAAATTTAAGGGGGAAAGGAGGGAGATGGAAAGCAAGCAAATACAGTACTTGAAATAACGGAAGAGGATGTGGATCTCTGAAC